AATGTCAACACTTGCATCAGTTTTCTATTGCTACTGTAATAAATGACTACAATTTTGGTGGTTTAAAAGAATATGAATGTTTTCTTGCTGGTGTGGTGGTGTACTCCTTTAGTTCCAGCATGTGGGAGGCAGAGGCAGGCAGATCTCCTGGCCAGCTTGGTCTATATAGCGAGTTTCAGGCCAAGCGGGGCTACAGGGAGACCCTGTCTCAAAAAAGAATGTATTCTCTTATAGTTCTGTAGGCTGGAAGTCAGAAATAACTTTTCCTTTAACTTAAGGTGTCAGTAGGCTTGGTCCTTCTGGAAGCTCCAGGGATCTGTTGTCCTTTGCTGTCTCTAGCTTCTCGAAACCACTAACATTCCCAAGCTCATGACTCTTTTCTTCTATCAGTCTAACTTCTTGTTTCCATTGTCACATCTTCTTTTTCTGCAGTCAAATCTCTCCTTGTCTCCCTCTTATTTGGACACACGATCACACATGGATAGCATGCTAATTTCTCCATCTTGAGATTTTTAATCACACCTGTGAAGTTCTTTTTGGCGAAGTTCCAGGGACTAGGACCTAAATATCTTGGGGAAATATTCAGCTTACAGCAGCACTGATTTCCTAGTTTCATATCAGAACTCTCTTCATAGTTGAAGCTATCAGTACTCCAGGAAAAGCTCCTCTTCTGAGGAGATATCCTTATTTTCCATTGATGTGGTACCTTTCCTTCTTGAATGTAAGACTGAGAGAGAAGGCTCTCTGGCTACAATGTCTGTGGCTCTATCCCTAGTGCTTAGAATAGTGCTGGTTGCTATCAAATCAACAGTTATTATAGAATAGAAAACTGATATGCTTCTCCTATTTCCAGTTGTGTCATCTCTCATTCCTTCCCTGGAAACTTCCTCTCTTCTCAAAGGTAAAGATTATTAGCATTCTCCAGGACTTAGTGCTTGTCCACTTTTCCCCTAACATGCCAAGTGGCTAAGTTCCAACCATATCCCGTGGGCTCTCAAATCCACACCTCAAACCCAGATATGTGGTTTGCACTTCAGACTTTAATCTTTACCTAGATGTCCCACAGCATGAAGTCACCATGTCTCATCTTTCCCACCCACCAAACATGACCAAAAATTAACTTTCTCCTCTTCTTATACCCTATCTTAGGGAATAAGTGCTGGGTTTTACCCCCCCCCCCAAAAAAAAGCAAAAACACTGGCACCAACTCAGACCTCATAGCTTCCTATTTCCCAAACTTTCACCACCTTTATCCCCACAATTCAGTCAGCTGTGATTTTCTGTTAATCTGTCCTCAATCCTTGATATTTTTTTCTGCCTAACATCCTAGTTCAAGTCTTCTTTATTCTCATAAAATGGGATATAAATGAGCCCATCATGCTGTCCCTCTTGACTTCTGATGAGAATGTTAAAATGACACACTTGTAAATTTTTTGGATATGTACCAGTTACTGACCACTATTGCCTAGTCTATTTCCATTCTCTGATGAACGGACAGTGACTCTGAGCATGACCTGCATACCATATGATTTAGGCCATCATAGCCACCTGGGCCAGGGATTGGCCTCTGTTTCAAAGGTGTCTTGTCCATAGTTTTCATCAGTCAACTTAAAATTTGGGTGGACTAGCACTGGGTAATAGTTGGGGGCACCGATAACACAATGGACAGTAACAGGGATGACAGAGTATATGGGCTCCAGTGTGTGTGGGGGCTATGGGATGGTGCCATTTGGGATGAGGTTATAAAGATGAATAAGATTGTTTGGGATGTTCTGTATGAAATACACACAAAAAAATCTATAAATAAAAAAAATAAAAAAGTTTGGGCGACTGGTTGTAGAACACAAGCTGAGTAAAATTTCTTTCAAGATTTCAAAATAGGCTGAGAAAAGCTGGTCTGATGCTGTTCAGAGCACTGCACTGCTGAACAGAAAGATCAGAAGGAATTATGGGTATGGGCAGGCTACAGTTTTGAGGAAGCAGGTATTGTATATGATGCTAGTACCGTGTATGATGCTACTGGTAAGCCTGGAGAGAATGAGAAGGAACAAAGCCAAGACACTGTGAGAAGGGCGTCGTCTGTTCCTGTGGTTCTGAAGGCCATGTCACACTGTGATTTCTAATCTCAGTGTCCATGACATTGTTGCATTATCAAATCAAAACCAAACCCAGACCCTAGTTTTGAGTGGGTCCCTGTTTTCTCAAATGAACTGATCAAGTGATTATGTGTTCCAGGAAGACCTTACAACATTATATGACACAGCTGAAGAGGTAGCCGACTACTCTAAGAGCAGCAAGATCCAAGCTCAATGTTCATTCTGGTCCTTCTTAAATTATTATCTTAGGGGTGGTTGGCCAGCTTATGGTATCAATGTTTATATAAGATCCCTGAAAACATTAATTTCAGAAAAGTGCCTGCTGCTACATAAAAATGGCCGTAGGTGACATTCTGGCCCTTGTCAACAGGCAATCAAAACTGCTTCTTAGATGCCATGCTTCTAGATATCTGCCTTTCTCTTTGCCAGTTATTGGGACCACAGGGGCTGCTGAAGATTTCTAGGATCCTTGTCACATGGCCATCCCTCTCTCAAATAAGAAGTTATTGAAATTTGCAAGTTAAAAACATTAGGGGCTGGAGAGATGGCTCAGCAGTTAAGAGCACTGGCTGTTCTTACAGAGGACCTGGGTTCGGATCCCAGCACCCACATGGCAGCATCTGTAACTCCAGTTCTAGGGGATTCAACACCCTCTTCTGACCTCTACAGGTATTGTATGACATGGGTGCACTTACATACATGAAGGAAATACACTCATACACATAAGATAAAAATTACTAAAAGAATTAGGCATATTTAATCAATACTTAGAATATGGGATGGCTCTAGAGAGCATCATTGTTCTTTTATTTATTTTGAAACAAAGTCACACTTTGTAGTACAGGCTAGCCTTGAACTCAAGATAGTCCTGTCTTAAGTGGTAGGATTACAGATCTATTTCACCATACCCAAGTTACAATGCATCTTTATTTAGATCTCCCTCTAACCCTATAAAATGTGTTCAGTGGAAGAATTTCCTAATCATCTTAAAATTAAAACTAAGTGAACATAAAAAACAGGCAGTTTGGGGACTTGTCAGCATTCTCATACAACAGCAGGTCCAATGGTTACCTTCTTTTAGGATTTTAAAGATTTATTTATTTGTATGGGTGTTTTGCCTGCATGTATGTAAGTGCACCAGTGTGTAAAATGCCTGTAGAGGCCAGAAGAGGGCATCAGATCTCCTGCAAGAGCAACTAGTGCTCCTAATTGCTAAGCCATCTCTCCAGCCCCAACCAATGACCACTTTCAATCATGTTAGTCCCTGTGCACTCTGTCCACCGTAACCAATGGGACAAGTAGTGCTTAGGGGGAACCAAACACCAGGCTTCGCGGCCAGATTTTCTCTTTGCTGGGTAGACAGCAACATCAGAAGTGTGGTATGGTAGATCTGGACTCAATAATCAGGGACCCCCTTGGCTGAAGATGAGGTGCTCTCTAAGGCAGCAGTTTTTACTTAGGGATCCAGGCCCTCTTTTGACCCCATTGATTATTGGTAGAACTCACTTTCTTGAAGTTAAAGGAGTGATGTCTCCATTTTCCTGTTGGCTGTTTTTCCCCAAACTACTTACTTCCTAGAGATTTCCTACATTTTCCTGCCATGTGGCCCCAGACAGGTCATTCATAGGATAGGATCAGTATTTTCTTGTTCCAGACTGGCTTCAGTTCAGTTCTCTGAAACCATCCAGGCAGAACTCTGCTTCTCAGTGGCTCAGCTAATTAAAACAGGACCACTTGGGATAATCCCCCTTTTGCCATGATATATATAACAATCACAGCAAAGATATTTCTAGGGGAGGGAATTATATAAGGATGAAGATCACTGATGGTCATTCTAGAAGGCTGCCTACCGCACAACTCAACGAATATCAAGATGTGTATGGATACTGCTATTCAATTTAAGATTTTGTTTTCTATTGTGACTTTGGGGGACTTAAGTTGCTTCCAAATTTGGGTTTGATCCAGAATGTTTGGAGATGCTGTATTTGACTACAATGAAGCCCCTACAGTAAGCCTAGACACCTCTGGAAACCAGGCTGAGTGGCTGGGTGACCATGGGTTAAGTTCCCCAAACTCCCTCTTCATGTGTAATACAAGGACAATGTCTAAGGTTGGCAAGCTCTAGCAATCTATAACGTTTAAGACTAAATCATACTGATCAAATTAAAAACCTAGTGGCTCACAATATCCAACTAGTTCATAAGAGAATTTCATTACTGATGTAATTGCAGAAATGTGATTTTAAGAGGAAAAGACAGTTTTGTTTTTAAGTGAATCCACTCCTATGCTGGCTGAATCTGACTAAATACATACCTAGGGATATAAATAAGAAAGAGAGAGAAAGAAGAGAGAGAGAGAGAGGAGAGAGAGGGGAGAGAGAGAGAGAGAGAGAGAGAGAGAGAGAGAGAGAGAGAGACTCCCTGAAGCCCAGCTGGTGGGGGACCTGGAATTCCCTATGTAGACCTCACAGATAACCTGCTTGCCTTTGCCTCCCAAGTGCCGGGATTAAAGGCATGCACCGCCATACCTGATCAAAACTACCTTTTTAATAGTTTATATAATGTGGTACTTTATCTTTAGATGATATACATGTTCAGTTACAACTAAAAGTGAATTTTCCCCAAATAGTAAAATTTGATAAAATTACTATCTTATATAGTAAGTTGAATTAACTGATGATAATTGAAAAAAAAAGGCAGTCCTCAATATTAGAAATCAATTTACTGACAACATGCAAAGCAGGTTGAGATTATTGTATACATGCTGGAGATTTAAGTCTTTCCTTTTGTCTTTCTGAAGCAAAGCCTCTTTGGCTAGGATAATTATTCTCTTCTACACAACAAAAAATGAAGTCTAATTTTAAACAGGTATTATTAAATCTCACTGAAACAGATTTCATGTAGATATATTTGTTAAAACATTCCTTTATTGACTATGCACAGTTATTAGCAATTCACATTTCACTTTATCTACTGGGTGGAAGAGCAATGACTCTTTCATTAAGAAGTGACGCCCTCCAGGGCAGCAGTAGGACAGCACAGCCTTCTTCTCTCTAAGTGCCACTGTCCAGTGCATTAGCAGAAGGGAAAAAGAAACACAGCAAATAGACTTCTCCATCTTGTCATCATTCCCCTGCACCAAGCACTCCTCTCAGTTTATAAAATGCCCATAGGCAAACAGTTCTAGGTGGGTTCACACATTCCTCAGAAGATTAAGAACAACATATGTTTGTGGTACCATGCTAGATCTCTGTGAAAGTGACAAAAGAAATACAAGACAATGGCCATATCCTCAGGAAGATGGCTTATGATGGAGAGAACAGAAGATCAGGGGGGCGTTAGTCAGTCTCCAGCACCTTGTCGCTCATGTTTCATGAGCTGTTTTTCGAGTTTTGAGGTATTTACTCGATGCATCATTAGAAACTGGCCATTCAAATGAAAGACGGGAATGTCAAATTTATACCTTTCATACCAAGCAGAGTTTTCTGGAAGTGTGATGTCCACCTCCTGTAAAATAAACTAAAATACAGATTGGTTAAAGTACTGTACTTTAGAGACCATGGAGCAACACGACAACTGTAGTGACAAACTGAGAGGTTTGCTTTTGTGTTAGGCTACTGTAATCCAACAGCCCTAATTTCCAAAACTTCACTAGTTTCATCATATCCTATTCTCTACCTCCCAATCTTCTGACTTTTCTGTTACACCTGTTCCATTCAGCAGCAGGGCTCTACTCAGTTCCTAAAGAAATAAAATAAGGCCCAGTTGGAAGGCTTCCTGAGGACCAGGACAGAAGCGTCTTGGTTGGAAGAATGGCAAAAGTAGGGTGGTCTGCTACAGCAGAACACGTCCATGAAGTTATGAAACAGGATGAAAGGAATGGGGACCAAAGTTTAAGAAAACATAAGTACTGCACCTGCCAGTTAACTCTGACTCATGTCAGGAGTCAGAAAACACAGTACTGTTCAGAGGAAAACTGTTCAGGTAATGAGTTTTATAGAAATCAGCACTAAATTCTCTAAAGAAATGAAAGAAAGATAAATGACAAATCACTTAATCTCTTTTCCTAAAGAAAGGACCCAAGTAGATACTTTACACCATGTACAATATCCACCCAACATACACGAAAGACACACTGTGTTGCATTACCCTGTTTCTGTAAGGCTTAAGTACTTCTTTGGCTTCATCACAAAGCGGGCATGGAATCTATAGTTAGAAATAAACAAGGCTGTTAAAGCTAAAGGTAGATATTGGGTATAACAATAAAACAAATCAAAACAGAACCCTCCAACAAACAAACAAAGAACACAAGAAGCACATTATGCTTGCTTTAAAAAGACAGTTTTCTACTAGGTTAGTTACACTGCTTTAATTCCAAAGTAAAATCTTACAAGAGCTAGTGTTTCATGAAATTGGCTCTGTGTATTTTTGGTTTTGTTTTCATTTTTCTCATATGTATGTATACACATGCACACATATACTTGTATGCACATGTGCACATTACATGCTCACTATTTCTCACTGATCTAATACCTAAAGGGCTTTGTCAGGAACACTTTGCTGACCTCATATAGCTGAACTGGTGGCTGACACATCCAGAGCAGCTTACATCTTTTCTGACTGGGAGGCACTGAACCCCACCATCCTATTTTTCCTAATGAGTCAAGAGGAACAAATCTATCAGGGAAGAGTTAGATAGTGACTGCTCTATCTTTAAAGGAAGGGGAAAAATCTGTTCAATTTAGATGATGATTGTAGCAGCAATTCATAGTGTATTTTTCTGTTTTAGTATTACAAGTATCCACAAAAGGTATCCTGGGCTGATGTTCTATCTGAAGAGTAAGCAAGTTGTTTGTACTCTTAAATGACCCTGTGGAGGAGTCAGGTAGAATACAGAGTGGCAGATTTAAAAGGTTTCCAGTTACTGAGCCCAAGAAAAGAAACCTGTTATAGCTTCTCTTGTATGAGCTCAAAATGGATTCAATATTACTGGTGCTTACATAAAAGTTGTTTTTTAACATATCAGGAAGAGGTGATATACAAAAGAGGTCTTCTCTTTAACTCACAGCATGTTTTGAAATAAGGTCTTTTTTTTTTTTAAGCTCAGTTCATCTCATCAAACTATTGTTAGAATGAACAATGAACAGATTATGGATAGTTTGTTACTATAATAATAAATTAATATCATGCTGAAAATAAAATAATCATGCTGAAATTTTCTGAGAAAGTGCCACAAGGTCAATATAAGAGCTTAAAAGTAAAAGCAAAACAAGCAGCAGCTAAACTGAAGTACCGGATACACTTCTTTCATCGTTTGCTTTTATATGAAAAACTTTAGAAGAGCCTAGACCCAGGAGTTTTGCTTTGTTTTGTTTTTAAATTTGGGTTTGTGGAAGTTATGGAAAACATACATTCAAATAGTGAATGTATATCTATCCAGAGGCTCATTACACTTTAGAAAGTTTAAGTAACCAAGACAGGATAAAGACCCATGGGCAGGGCCACTGAAACAGCCTTTCCGAGGATTCTCCATAGCACTTGCTCTTTTCACTGTTCTTGAGTTATAACACATATTTGTTGATTGCTGTACAGTGCCCACCTCCTTTCTTACAGCAAGAATGCTGTGATTCTGTCCCATAGGAACTACTCTTAGAGTGTGGTTAATTATGGGGACGCAGGGATCTCAGGGCGCCAGCTGCTAGCGAGGCGGCGGTCTCCTGCGCACACCTGGGAAGCAGCGGTCCCGTGGCTAGTCTGCTCTGCGTTGCTGGCGGGTCCCTGCTTCTCCACGTCTCTGTGGGTCTCTGCTACTGGGGCTGGCCCGGTCGAGTTCCGCCCCAATTTCACCCGTGCACTCTCTCTCTAAGTTCGGGACCCGTCAGCTTCTGGGTCACGAGGAGAGGTGCGGGATGGCTAAAGCTGGATTTCCGTGAGTCGATGACGGAAGGATAGCGCCCCCCTGGGGAGGCTGGATCGTAGGCAGTAAGACACAGAACTCAGCTCAGTCAGTGGTACAGCCCCTTTATTCAGTGACTCAGCTCGGCTCCAAAGGATATTTTATACTATGGGGGTAGTAGTAAAAACCTTAGCTGATAGGTACTTTGTGGGATACCCTATTTACATGTAGAGGTGGGCTCCTGCCAGGCTGCCAGACTGTCTGAAAATCACACAGGAAAGGCTGGCAGTTTCCAGAGCCGGAGGCCATGGCTACTTCAAAAGATGAGTCAGGAAGATGCCAGGGAAGGCACCCTGCTGATAAAAGGAGTCTCTGCATTTGAAGCCGAGCCCATAGGCTATCCGGACATGGAGAGACTGCTACTTTACACAACAGGGGTCCCCAACAGTTAATTCCATCTCTATGTAAGAAAGATGGAACACTTGACCTAGGCTCAAGAAATCAAATCACCTGTTTGCCTATGATTGGTTTGGGTGGGCCAATCATAGCCATGAACAGCAATGAGACTTTTGCTGAAATTTCTGTAGATGTCTGAGATGCAAGATCTGGACTTGGGATTGCTACAACCACACACAAGAAGAGACACTATAAAGATGAATTTAATCCAGAAGATTCAAATGTGAAGAGACTAATAACCTTATTTCTTGAATCAAGCTCTTCTTAAAACCAAACAACCCTCCAGGGGTGGTGGTGGTGGTGGTGGTGGGGCAATGGGAGGGTGCCAGTGCAAAAGATGATTAAGATTGAGCAAGAGAGAGGTGTTTTGTGTGAAATACACACACACACACACACACACACACACACACACACACACACACACAAAATCAATAAGAAAAACACAAACAACTCATAAATCTTGTTTAAGTAAATCTGGAAAGTACACTCTACTATTTATAACTGATGGAGGACTAAGTAGTACTTGAGTTTGGTATTTCTTTTACTGAACTGTGAGTTACTGAAGGGAAGTTATGTATTATTATGTGCCTCATGGTGTTCAGTACACATATTAAGACAAATAGAAGATTGGAGTTTTTTTGTTTGATTATTTTTTGTAAACATTTTTGGCTATCGCAATGGCTCTCTGATCTAAAAAAATAGTGCATAACAAAAGTAGGCCAAATGAACACAACTAACCTTGTGGGGTTATTTTATTTTTCTGGTTAATTCTCATATGCATTGCCTATTATGGAATGTCAGATAATGAAACATTTTTGGCTCCATAATTTCCAACAGTATACTATATACTAATGACATAAAATGCAATTTAGATAAAGTAGTCTCAATAAGAAATTCATTTTAAAAATAACTTAAGCTTTGTATTTGGGGTTGGGGGACAGGGGAGAAGTTCAAATAGGGGCTTGCTATGCAATTCTGGCTGGCTTGGTACTTGCCTTGTAGCCTAGCCTAAACCTGCTGCAATCCTCCTCCCTCAGTCTCCCAAATGCTGGGAGATACAGGTGTGCATCACAACCAGAAGACTTAGTTATAACAATCCGATTTCAAAATATTGCTAAACTGCCTAAAATCTGAAAAATCTATTAAAAAGACTGTTTTATTTAAATTGTAGTATTATTCACAAAAGTTACTTCTATTGTCCCTATTTTTCCTTTTGATTATAAATTATACAAAGTAATGTTAACTACCAAAAAGATATTACCAATGCTTGTACTACAAATTTGAGAGGTGAAAGCTCTTTAAAAAGTTAAACTAAGTCTAGGGAGAGAGGGCTCAGTGGTTAAAGTGTATGCCATGCCAAGTTTGAGGACCTGAGTTTGGATCCCCAGACCCCATATAAATGCTGGGTGGGCAAGGTGACTGTAATTCCAGCACAGGCAAGGCAGAGACAGGGGATCCCTGGGACAAGCTGGCTAGCTAGACTAGGTACACTGTGAGCTGTGGGTTCAATTAGAGGCCTTACCTCAAAGAATAAGGTGAAGAGTAATTGAAAACTCTTGACATCAACCTCAGGCCTCCAAATGCACCTGTGCACATATATGCACATGTGTACCCCACCACATTTAAATTAACCTTATAGCTTAAAAGTAGTGCCAGGGTGCTAAGAATAGGAGGTAGGAATTGGCTAGGTAGTTAGGGTAAAAAGACCCCAAAGAAATGTAGCCAGTTTCTTGGCTAAAAGTCAAAATGTCCTTGGGCCTGTTAGCAACATACTCTGTTCCAAGGCCAAAAATGTCAAAAGTATTTTGGAGCTTGTATATAATCCTTGATTTTAGGGTTACCTCTTCAGAGAGGGGAATGTTGGAGGGGAGGGAGTGGGCATGCATTTGATCAAAACACCTTATATACATGTATGAAATTCTCAATAACGTTTTTGTAAAACTTAAAAAAAAAAAAAAAAAAGATAAAACCTCACTATGTAGCATAGAAAAAAAAGGAGTGCCAGGGATAAGAAAACAAATATAATCAATCTTCTTTATTCATGGGTTATAGGTCTGTGAATTTGCCTACATACTAAAATTTATTTGCAACCCCAAAACAATACTGGAAGCACTTTTATAGTCATTTATGGATACGCCTATGTGCAAAGCAATAGCAAATTTGAGTTGCCAAAAAACTCATTCTAAATTAAGGACCAATAAGGTCAGGCTTTTCCTTCTTGTTTAGCTCCTAAACTGTAAGTTAGGATGCTTATGGATAGTCCCAGGGGTGCTACTTTATGAGTAGTGCCTTTTTTTGCTTTTGTGCATTTTAAAAATAGCCCCTAAGCATGGTACAAAAAGCTGAGATGTGCCTCATGGAGAAAATATGCTGTTAGAGAAGCTTCATTTAGGCATGAGTTGTAGTACTGCTGCCCATGAATATAATGTCAATGATAAAACAATAGATATTGAATAAGGCATTTTTAAACAGAAACACACATAAAATAAAGTTATGCATTTGGATGGTTCACAAAAATACTGTGGCCAGAGTCTGCTCATGGGATCCTAATCCAGCATTTTTCCTAAGAGCAATACTTAGTATTCAGTGTTTGTGGTACTTTTAAAACACAGCCACCACAAATAATGAGAATTGACTTATTTCTAAATGGCACAGCTTTAAGCATCATAATTATAATCTGTAGCTCTTTTTTAAATTGCAGGGGTGAGGTGACCATTACATATATTATTCTGCCCTCAATAATCGAGAAGCATGAAGTGTCTGGGGAAGAATAGCAGAGGAACTGATCTGGAAAGAATTTCCCCATTGCTTTTCTTTATACATTTGAGCCTTTTTCTTGGATGCACAACTTTCTTCACTCAACAATGCTAAAGTATATGATAAAGTATTACTACTTTATTTTGTAAGCTGCAGTTTCACTCTTTCACTTGTACCTTTGTGAATAAGGTCAGCACTGGCAGAGCTGCATTCGAGGCAGAGAGATTTCTCACGAAGAGTCCAAAAGAGGATTTGGCAATCTGCAGGCTATTTCCTTGAAACCAGAGCATCTTAATTCTGCCAAAAAAAAAAAAAAAAAAAAAAGGCAGTAAACTTAATGCACCATAGACTTTGCTCTTTAGAATTCAAACAGTAAGTTGCAAGCTTATGATGGAATTTGAAGGTTTCAGTATTTCTTGAAGTCCAGGAGTGTCAGAGAGGCCCAGATATTTGGCAAGTGTCCATCACGCATTCACTGTATTCCAAGCCAAACAGAACTTAGAATTAAAAAAAAAAAAACCCATAAAACATATTTATGGATTAGTTTTGTGCCTAATCCCGTGGTTTCTGTAAGCAAACTGCATGAGTTTGTTGATTTGAATATGAAATTAAATTTCACCTGCAGATATTTCCAGTGTCCTGATCATAGCCCTAAAAGTAGCGGTGTCTTGAGTCAGGTTTTAGTCACAAAGATAGTTTACCTCCTGACAAGCATACAAAACCACCTAGCCCCACCAAGGTAAAGGAGAGACTAAGTGAACAACACAAAGTCCCCAGCTGAAGGTGCAAGCTATCTCTTAGGAGATTTTTTTCCACCTACACTGTAAGAGAAGGGGAATTACGTTTGTTGGTTTAAAGACAAAGCTGTAGATAAACTGTAGGGGAGTATCAGTCTGAGTTAACTTGTCACAAAAAAAAGTCTTTGTTCAATAGCCTAAGTTGCCATGATTTTCAAAAACTTCATGCACAAATGTACTAGTGTTTTTACTGGAGAGATTCCAGTTAGAACAGTTTAACAGCAGCATGTCAAACATTAGGCTTTGAGACTCCTTCATCCTGCTACTTTGCTTGACTAAGACACTATTATTCCTTGTTAATCCACTGAGCCTCCAGCTTTGTCTTTGAATCTACAAATGTTGTAATTTCATTTTTAAACCACATGTGCACAGTGACCTTTATCATTTACCACTATTCCCAAGATGGACTCATTCCTGGGCTCATCATTTCTTAATTTCACTTTACCTCTCCAACTTCATCTAGCACGTCCCTGTACCCTACCTTGGCAAGTGGGAGCTGTGAAAAGATTCTCCTCCTAGTCCTTGAGACCCAGAGGCCATTTCTTCATCAGTATGTCTGCACTTGCTTTCTCTTTCTCTCTGCATGAAAAACACTTATGTGGTGTCTCCTGCCCTAGAACTCATATGGCCTAAAGAGTTTTGTTGACCACCTTACCAATGCTGGCCAACCCATAACTCTCCATCCTCATATTCACAATATTTTTGTGAACCAACCAAATGTATAACCTTATTTTATGTGTCTCTCTTTAAAGATGCCCTTGACTATTTACAGTTATTATGTCTCCTCTATGACAATGTAAGTTCTGAAAGAACAGGTATTCATACCAGTATTTCTAAGTACCCACAATCAACCTGTATACAATAGGTGCTGAAATGTTAAAATATTAGAGTAAGTCTTTTCTTCCCTCTACAACCTCCCCTCTAATTCCTCAGTCATTCTGTGTGTACAGCAGTCATTACTTGGGCCTATCTCATAACCAAAGATTACCACTCTTCAGGGTGTCCAGTCTTTAGACTGAGACACTGCAGCTGGTTCTAAGCTCTTCACTGCCATCATCGCAAATCTCCGTGTTCTACTTCACAGAGCATGACTGTATTAATTAAGTGCTAATCTTCACTGGCAACCAGGCTTCTCAGTGTAATTAGCCTTAAACTCATTTCAAACAGAACGATATGAGTTTAGAAAATACAGTAAAGACCATAGGACAAAAAGATCAGATACTGATCCATGAAAGCAATGATCTTTCCTTTACTCATAAGCCCAGATCTCCCTGCTAACTGAATGATCTGCTAGTCCAAGAAAAATGAATGCAAGGCAAATTCCACAAGGATTTGCTATCTAGAATTACTCAAAGGTAAAATGAAGATAGATAATTCCACAATATTCTGTGTGATTCTCAGCTTAGTGTTAAGTCCCTGCACCCATAACGTCTGCAAATTTAGCAGAATCAACAACTCTAAAATGTAAATGTAGGTGAAGACACAGCTTTAACAATATAAGATTTTACTGAGGTGGGAGTGTGGGGAGTGGACATTAAGAACAGGTACTTATTTGACCTGTGTCTCTAAGCATGGAATTGACCTGACATATAATAGGTACGTAGAGATTTCTGAATCATTGGATCTGGAAGACTCTGTGTCACCAGGAATACCACCTTAATAGAATATGTATCAAAAGAAGCTTTACTTATATATGAAGGAGAGAAAGAATTTTTAAAAATTAGTTTATTAAAGGCAGAGAGATAGGCTGAGGACGGTGCTCAGTGGTAGAGCGGCAATTGCTTGCCTAGCATTCACGAGGCCCTAGGTTCAATCCCTAGTACTGTTTTAGGAAAAAAAAAAAAAGGCAGAGAGTGCTTGTGGAAATGAAAAGGTGGGGCCTTCTATAGCAGTGAGGAAGACCATCATCAGGTTGGTGAACCCAGTAGCTACACAATTTTGGTGGAGGGACAGAAGATTCCTTGATGTTTAGCTGGAAAGAGAAGGAAAACTTACTACTTCTACTCAGCTGACTTGGAATTGAGGTTTAAGGTCTTAAAAAAAATTCACATTTACAATGGAAATTTGCTTCAGTATTTCCAACATGACAAAACACAGCATGTGGTCTTGGTTGCACCCAAGACAAATAAAATCTGTCATAGTAAACAGAGTTGCTATTCATCCAGATTTGCTGGAATATTTGCTCAACCAAGCCAGAGAGCTAAGAACGTCTTTAGGGATGCCCAACTGCTCACAGCTACTGCTTTTCTACTGTTCTTCTCTACTTCAGTTTTGTCACACATTTTTAATTACTTAAGCCTGGCACATTTATTTACTGAGAAAGGCATCAATGTTATGCAGTTTTACATCTTGTATCTTTTCTAAGTGCCCTAAGGTACACATTTTTACCACATTGTTCAATAATTTATTTCTTTCAAAGTAGTGTATTATACATTTATATTAGTGTCTGATATAAAGAAAAAGCTCCTTATTCTTCTTCTAGGTAGATATTAAAGCTAAAATTCCTTAATTCCTGAAGTCTACTTATGGCTATAAAAGAAAAAACAAAAAAGAGAAATGATACAGTCCAATGGAAATGCTTTAATCCTCTTCTTAGAGCATTTTACTAACTCTGTAAACCTAACACCATTGCTGTCAATGTCACATTCACCAAATTATGCCTTCTTGAAGTAAAATCTTTATGTGGGCTACTCTATCAATGTGACATTTTCATTAGTTCGATTATTTTTGAACTCTATCTTAGACTATAAAAAAATATCCTAAAAGGTGGTTTCTGCCTATTAGCTCACAACTGGGAAGACAACTCTTCCCCACTCCTCAGTACTGGGGATTGAACCTAGGGACTCACAAATGCAAGGCAAGAGCTCTATCACTGAGCTATATCCCCAGCCCTCTTTTTATCTTTTATTTGGGGATGGTGGCTCACTAAGCTCCCCAAACTGACCTTGAAACTTCACTCCCCTGCCTCAGCTTCCAGAGTAGCTGGGATTATAAGCCTGTGCCACCAGGCCTGACTGACAATACTTTTTTGATGATGTCATTGACTTGAGTCATGAAATATGTGTTCTTACTATACAGGCAGACACAATTTTATTCTTTGTATTTTGTTACGTCTCTGTGATATAAGCACAAAGAACTGTGCTTATGATATCAAAGAAGCGCAATTGGGTCACCTCTGTCACAACTGAAAAAAAAAAAAGGAAAAATATAAGACTAGATTTAGAATGTGCTTAAAGAAAATTCAGAAGCTTAACAATAAGGATGGTAACGCCTGCTGTTTCAAGTCCACTGCTATTCAGAAGCACAGATCCCCCTGAAAGAGAAAGGGAAACTGGCCTTTCAACAAAACTGAGGCAGACTTCATTGGTCTTTATGGTGAAATCAAATATAACATGGGGGGAGGACTGATTGGACCATTTCAGCCCTCCTTGAAGCAAGATAGAGAAGATAACTTAACTTTATAGCATTTTCCCTGTGAAGCACTGAAGGGCATACCATTAAAGCAGCTGATTACAGTACAGAAAGAAGCCGTGGTCATTTGAGCCTTTATTAAGGAGTTTTCATTTCTTGCATGAAGAGCCAGCAGCCCAGGCTATGACTGCACATCATTTACGAGGGGCTCCTGGATTTTCAAACACCATGTGTGTACATCTGATTAGGAGGGAAACAACACTGTTCTTGCTTGAGTAGAGAAACTGACCTTCACTGACCAGAATTTTATTCATACAAAGAGTCCTTTGGCATACCAAAGCTCTGAGCTCACATGCTCATTCATCAGCAAGCCGCAGTGTTAGTTCATGTGCAAAATCAAAAAGTCTATACAAGTCTAGATACTGCCTTGGTTATTAACAGATAATGTTAGACCTTCTGCGCAAGACTATAATGCAAATTTAATGCTGAGCTGACATTAACCAAACACTATTACCATAGCTCTTGCTGAACCTGTGTTTTACAAAGACAGCTGGGGGGTTCAGTTTAGTCATTTGTGCCATGTGAGAAGTTAAGTGCTCCTCTTCATATGCATTACCACCTAAGTACAACGTTCCTATTTTTACACAAATGAATAGAAACTCACACCCTCTTTAGGAAACCCAATATTTTAGGGGAGGTTGCTCTAAGGGGATTCCCCTGGGTCACAGGGTGCTATCTAATCTAGAGAAATAGGGAAAAATGATGCCTCCCCAGCATTCCTGTTTTGCAGCCAGCTATATCTGAACCCCACTTACTCCTGAACGAATGGGAAACTAACCGAGATCTTGGGTGCAAGAACAGGAGAGAGAGAATAGCATTCGTGCAGCTAAGTGATCAGAAAGTCACCATGCAGGGTCAAAACCCAAAGTGAAAACTAAACAGATTTGAAGTGCCAATTCCAAGGGACTATAGAAGAAACAGGAATATAGGAAGCAGAAAAGAAGGGGCACCTAGAATGGGGCATAATTTACTAATGTGGTGGAATCTCAGGTGCTTTTCTAGTGTCTCAACTTCAGCAATCAAGGAACC